GGAGGTTTTAGTTTTGGCAGTGATGAGTCAAAATGGATGTCGGGGCTTAATTACCGCACCGGCCAACAGTTCTGTTGTCAGCAGAATGCAAGCCTTATAGCTCGACACATAACCGGTTAAAACATGCAATGTTAGCTAAACCCGGCGTCTCGCTGTCCATCAGTTCTGCATAGGTGACTGCTCTCGTCACAGCCGAGGTCGACCTTGAAGCTGCAGCACAGGAGGCCGGTCGCGCTTTAACGAGCTCGGGACGCCAACAAGTACGTTTACTCCAGTACTTACATTGTCAGAGTATTTCCTTTTCATGCTATGATGTACTTTTACTCCACTCAGCACAGAGAAATATTGTACTTTACGCGACAAATGTTAAAGGTGTACGAGTTAACTGCCCAACAGTAAAAAACTGAAATAAGTTTAACCATTTTAACCGACTGAAGTCATTTTATATGTAAAATGCAGCATTCCATAGTTCCAGCTTTGCCAAATGCAATATTTAGTTCCGAGTACTGGTCAGACAGAAGCAATCTGAAAGCATCACTTTGGCTCTCGGTAGTTGCTGTAGATTATATAAAGACAGTAGATCCACTTTTGAATTTTCAGATCAAATGACCAGGACTCTGGAGCCGTACTGGAGTTCTAAAATCAGAGCCACGTCAGCTTTATAAAGCATCGAGTACTATACCATTGCTTTTAATTGGCATTTTTACTTCAGTGTTTTAGCTTCACAAGTTTTCATTTTTTGATAGACTTCCATGAGCCGATGGTATATGTATAATAAGTTGAAAGACGATACACAACTTTCCATAAACACCAACTCATGTTGAGCACACCCATGCTAAACTCAACCCATTGGACAATATTTGCAGTTACAGCAAATACCTTTATTTAGATATAATCACTTAAATAAAAACTGCAAAGACATACTCTTTGTTTTTTTTTTTTATTAAACAACTCTGCAGAAAGGTGAAGGTGGTCAAAGCAGAGACATGCGAGGACTTTATGCAGTCTCCTCCTTGACAATGCGGTCCTTCTTGAGTGGTCCCTGTGAGAAGAGAGGAAATACAGAAATCAGTTGTATGCTAAAACGTTGAGGTCCATGTGTCTGCTCAGAGCAGCCACTTGTTTCCAGAGAGTGAACAGGGAGCAAGCACAAGGCACTGCTCCCCTGCCTCACCGGAGCATCACTATAGCACTGGAATGGAACCCAATGTTCACACTGAAGACTGAACCAGGTTACGATCAGTGCAGGGAAACTTACAGCATGCAGGAGATTGAAGTAATGCTACGTTTAGGATTTGTTTGGGGTTCGTAGTTTGTTCACTCGTATCTTAGCGGTGACTAGGAAAATAGCTGTTATGCACATGAAGGATCGAGTAAGTCGTACCATGAACGCCTTCTTCTCCTCGGCGGTCTGGAAGCGGCCGTGACCGAACTTGGAGGTGGTATCGATGAACTTGAGGTCGATCTTCTCCAAAGCACGACGGCTGGACTGCACCAGCAGAGACTGGACGAGAAAGGAAACAATGAAGTTAAACACTAGCTGCAGGTACACAGGACGCCATTAGGAAAAGATGTCATAAACACTACAATGTGTCCTCACCTTGCGCAGAGTCAGAACCCTCTTCTTGACTCCAACAACACAGCCCTTCACCATGACGAAGTCATTGGTCACATCTCCATAGTGGACGAATCCACCCTGTAATAATAAACATGGGGGAAAGTGAGTTTCCTTCCAGTAAAAGGTGCATTAACTGAAGTACTGGATCATCAAAGTCACTCACCAGGGGGTTGATGCTCTTGTTGGACAGATCGTACTCTGTGGAGGCGTTGTTCTTCACCAGCTTCCCGTCCTTGGTGTGGTAGCCCTGGCCAATCTTGTAGATCTTCTTGTTGATCTCTGTGCGGTGGTGGTAACCCTTCTGACCAGCACGAGCAACAGAGAAGGCCACACGGGCAGGATGCCAGGCTCCGATACAGGCAACCTTACGCAGACCACGATGGGTTTTGCGGGGAAGCTTCTTTGTGTGCCAACGGCTGGTGACACCTGGGAGGACGAGAGAGATTTTAGTTATTACTGAATGGATACACAGCTCATCATTTAAGCTAATAAAGCCTACAACTCTCTAAACTGCTTTCACCTTTGTATCCGTGGCCCTTGGTGATACCAATGACGTCGATCATCTCGTCCTGGGTGAAGACGGTGTTGATGGCCACGGCCTGCTCCAGCTTCTCGCGGGCCCAGTCCACCTTGTCTGAGATGTTTCCACCGTTGAGCTGCACCTCCATCAGGTGAGACTTCTTCTGCCTCACGGGCAGCAGACGCATCTGCACAGATATTAAGGCAGGTCAGAACAGAGACAATAATCTGTACAGCGACATGTTTAGCTGTGTAGTCTCAGAAGGAAGGCAGCATGGAAAGATCTCCTCATATGTGTCGGGCGCCATGCCTGACGCAAGATCCGTGGTCTCATCACTGACAAGACATAAAACAGGCTAACCTAACAACAATACTAACCTGTGTGTGGGCGATGATGCGGATGACCTGGCAGTACTTCTTCATGGAAGCAAAGTCCTTCTCCAGCTGCTTCTTGCCCTCGTCGTCCTGCCATTTCTTGCAGTATTTGGTAAAAGCCTTCTTCTTGGACTTGTACCTGAGAGCACGCAGCGTAGAGAGGACAGAGGTTGGCACTGGTCCTTCATAACCCCGAGAAGGGGGCCAGCGGAAGAACACAGTGCATAGCTATTCGCCCTCCCCCTCCATGTGGACAGGGGTGCTGTACCAGCTAGTTTTCGGCTCATGGCGCAGTTTCTAAGAAGCACTTTCCACTGGCCAGAGGAGCCCGGAGCTCATCAGGGCACAGGGCACCTGAGTGGAGCTGCCAGAGGGGCCACCGTAATGTTAGACTCACTCAGTGAAAACACAGATCTTACATAATTTCCACTGGGCAACTAACACTCGCTTCATGTACTTAAAATTCTTGTGTTTGTCTCACCAGTTCCTGTAGAACCGACGTTTGCATTCGTCACTGACGTGCTCGGCGAAGATGGTCTTGAAGGACCGCAGGCCACGGGGTGTGTTGACGTAACCCACAACGCCGACCACAATCATGGGAGGAGTCTCCAAGATAGTCACAGCCTCAACCACTTCTTTCTTGTTCACCTCTGCAGAGGAAAAATACAAAAGTTAAGCTTTACACAAGACCTGATCTGTTTTTAAGTACTGGTGTTCACCATTCATTGGTATGGACTGCGCTCAGTGCTCGACATTCAGCAAGGGTTTAAAGCCCATTATGTCCGCCCGTCGAGAGACTCATCATAGACAGAACTCAATATTTAAATATTGAAAATCAAAACATATATGCTGGACTTGTAATGTCTGTAATAATTAAGTTCATAATCATTTTAATCAGATTCCACTCACTGGAGCCAGGTCTGTCGACCTCGCGGACGATGTGTGTCATGCCGGCCTTGTAGCCCAGGAAGGCCGTCAGGTGCACGGGCTTGGTGGGGTCATCCTTGGGGAAGCTCTTGGCCTTACCCCGGTGACGACGACTCCTTTTGCGGGGCAAGAAGCCCAGGGATCCGTGGCGAGGAGCCGAAAATTTACGGTGAGACTGGAGGGAAGAAACAGTTGACGTTAGCACCGAGCTAACAACGATGCTGTGCTACCTCACGTGACTTAGCTTTAAGCTATTAGGTCTCGGACACAGTATGGCTAGCTTAAAATGCATTGTTATGTCACGGTGCGAGGAGAAGAAATACAAAATTCAGTTGTATGCTAAAACGTTGAGGTCCATGTGTCTGCTCAGAGCAGCCACTTGTTTCCAGAGAGTGAACAGGGAGCAAGCACAAGGCACTGCTCCCCTGCCTCACCGGAGCATCACTATAGCACTGGAATGGAACCCAATGTTCACACTGAAGACTGAACCAGGTTACGATCAGTGCAGGGAAACTTACAGCATGCAGGAGATTAACAGTAATGCTATATTAAAAAAAGATAAAAACATAGCTAACCTACTTTGAGTAAATTGCAAGGAAACAGCTAACCACGCTATTGGCATGGTTAGCATTAGCTCACTTGCATGCATGGTTGTCAAACTGACAAAATCGAGAAGTTTAAGCTTTTATTCAGTAGTCACTAATTAAATACAACTACATATTCAATAATAGTTCCAGTTATGTTGGAAATCAGAGGTAGCGGCCTATGTCAAGCTGCCATTTTGGATCCCATGTTGCCGCATGACTAAGTCTGAATACCTACTATTGAAATATCAGACTGAAATAATACAAAAATATATCCAAGACAGTAAGAAACATATTTTATAAGAGTAATTTGAGTGGCTCAAATATGTAAATTGTGACGGATGTGTCAGATAGCCGATGGATATCCGTCCACAGCACCAGAAGCAGCGATATAAGACTCACCATCTCGTCTCCAATCCGATTCGATTCAAAGAGGCCTGCTTAAGGGCAAGAAGCTGGCATATATACACAGCAAATATCGCGAGATTCGGCGAGACTATACTACGATAGAAGGCCCGCCCCGTTTATTTCAGAAGATGTTGTTTAGCTCAGCAGCCACTAGATGTCACTGTTTGATGTTACAAATCATCTAAATACGTGAAACAATACATCTAATAAATATTAAGACCTTTTATGTTATTTACTTGGACGATACAAAAAATATGTATTTTTAATCGAATGACATTTGTCCCATTCAAGTACTGTACATTCATACACACTGTATTTCACATAAATTAGCTAGGAAACAATATTGTGTTTTAGTCAATTTTGAATACAACTGTACTGAAAGAGTTACTTTGAACTTGTGTGTGTATTTAATGAAATGTAGTTTGGTGTTTGGTTTGTGTATTTTCTTATTTAAACTATTGTCATGCCCTATATTATGTACAATAGCCTTTGTCAATCCTAACTAATGTACATATTGTTAAATTATGGTCATTTACAAACTCCTAAATACAAAATAATCACACGTGATATAAAAATCAAGCTGTCTCAAAGTTTATTACCATTTCATTCATACGCATTCTTTTACACTTTTCAGGTTAAGGCAGCAATGTTTTTGATTTACGATCCAGTGTAAATTCAAAGCATTTCATCACCAGCAAGCCCCCGGGGGAAAGTTTGGGAAGCCTCTTGTGTTCCTCACGTCACGTCTTTGCAAAATGTATGACCATCGGTGTGGAATCAGGAAGCTGGCAGCAGCAGCTTCCACAGAAAATTGTGCTCAAATCTTCAATTCTTGTAATATAATATTAGCATAAAATGCTAAATTCATGCACCAAAGAAAACATCTTCAGAGAAGGCGTGCTTAATCAGACTTTGTGTTTGGTAGACTGTTGTTTCCTCCAGGTATGAGAACAGAAAAGAGGCTTTCACTCAACTAAACATAAAAACATGTTCTCGTCTGTCTGATTAAATTACACAGAACTTGTCTTTGCAAATGTAAAGTGCTACACACGATCAAATCTATCCAGTACACAAAACACATTTGTCAGCCATCTACTCGGATGTCAAAACATATCTTGCTGTACTGCTTCAGGAATGCAGTAAAGCGAATGCCGTGTGGACCAGCTCATCTGGATCCTGTGCTGAATGGAGCTCAACATGCCACGCAGTCGGACTCAGGCAATGCAAAAAGTGGGAATTAGAAAGTTTTCCTCTGACTCACGCAACAGTACTGATGTGCAGTTTAAGCACTAAAGAAGGTTTGAATTTTCCCATCAAGCATTTACGCCGCTGTCCTCCACAGATTTATCATTAATATTGTAAAATGTGCATTAGTATTCATGTAGTTTGTCCCCTCGCTGAAGCACTGAAAAAAAACATCTTATTTTAAGATAGCTGTTTAAAGTTCATCAAACATAAAGTCTGCGGTCCAGGACAGAATCTCTCAGTCTCCAGACCTGCTGCTCATTGTTCATTCAAGTCTCATCACCGTCACTGTGTTTACATTTCCAGAGAGCAGCTGTGAAATGTGGGTGAATCTTCATCATTTATGTTCACATGAAACCAAACCCAGGCACTGCCCGCTCCTCAAGCTTCTGTTTGAGGAGACGTTGTTCTCGCTGTCCTGATAATAATGAAACGGACAGCAAACACAACCACTCAGGATCCCAGTCGCTCTCGATCAAGGTTCATCTCTTGGAAGAAGGCCTTTCCAAACTCGTAGGTGCTGATCATGACGGCACACGCTGGAGCCACTTTGATCACTCTGGGCATGAAACCTGGAGGAAACGCACACATACGTGTTCACTGACAAGCTTTTATTTATTACATAACACAAGACAGAATACAGTAAGGTTGAGTTTCACCGACAAGGATTCATTTAATCGAAGATTAGATTCAGAATTTAGATAAACTAGATGTAAAATGATTAAATCCAGATCTTAAATGAAGCAGTAAATCCAAGTTTATTGATGTAAACCAAAGTTATAATTTAATCAATATGAATCACACAAATCACAACAAATAAATAAATATATTTGCATGCTGTGAGGACCTAGTGAATATGCTATAATAGAGGGGGAGTTCACTTCCACCTGCTCTGTATTCCTTTATAAAACCTTGTATTATGTGCTAGCTAGTTGTAAGCCTAGCACCACTCAACTGGTACAGCTGCATTTCTTTCACTCCCATGTTTGACATGTTGGTACAATCTTCCTGTTCAGCTCAACAGTTTCCTTACTGAACTTCAGCAGCAGCAGCATGTCTGTCTGTGAACTTTCCTTCAAGGAACTTGATTATTTTGTTCAATCCAGCTCAAAAAGGCCATTTTACAGGTTAAACCTCCTCCAGTGGAAGTGAGGTTAATACTGGTGATTTAAAGTGAAACCATGATTTAAAAATAAATCCTTGTTGGTGCGACCCGGTCTATGTGTGTACCTGCAAACAGGCCTCTGTAGCCCATCTCAGCCCATATTTCCTTCATCATGTGCCATGTGGACGTTGTTCTCTTTGAGGACGCTAGGAGGAACAGGAAGTTACTGTTTAGAACACACTGCACACACATGAATAAATACATGTCACTTAAGTACAGATGTTAAGTGCAGACCTCCCAGAGAATCCATCTCTCCCAGCTGGATCTGTCTCCGCGTCTTCACCACGTCAAAGGGCAGCGTCAGGATGGCGGCGATCTAGACACCATGACAGAGGAAACAGTCGTGTACCGGACAGTACACAGGTGTAACATTTCAAACTGTTAGATATGATCAGTGTGTGAAGGATAACGGTTCATATGAGCAGCTGTATTATTGTAGGAACATAACCATGTGAATGTGGGTCAGCTCCTGACTCACTGCCCACAGCTGGAACCTGAAACCTTGTTGTTTCAGATAATTGAGTGTTACTGTGATACAATTCACTCAGTTCAAGTCAGGGTTTCTAAAGGTTTTATTGTATTTGTTCTCCCTTTGAGTACAAGCTGAAAATATGTTGGATTACATCGAGTCATGTATTTTATCTAGTTATCATGTTGACTGGTTGCAGCACCAGGTGAACAGGTGTGTGGCTACATTAGAGGTGAAGTACTTACAGCTCCAGAGACGGCTCCTGCTGTGAAGCTGATGGAGAAGTTGGCCTGAGTCACTCGGGACCGTTCACACAGCCGGGCCTTCACCAGTTCATAGTTAAACCAGTACAACGCTGCAAACACACACACACACGTGCTTTGATGCTTTGTTCCACATGACAGCCATCTTACACTCTGTAGATCGGTAGAGTTTTTCCTCATCTGACTCGAGGTTCTAAGGACAGAGGACGTCTTATACTGTACACACTAAAACTGTGATTTGTGATGTTGGACTAAATAAATAAAACTGACTTGACGAGTGAAAATATATCATCAAGAGAAGTTTGTGAATAATGGCAGGAAAACTAGAGAGAAACCGTGACGGAGATGTTTTCTTTCCTACCAATACTGTACGTCTAGAACACAAATATTGAGTATTATTGAGTATTTAGAGAATCAAACTGTTAGCCTGAAAGGTGGCTGTAGAAACGAGTTCACATGGAAGGAAAAGGTTTAAAAACATTCACATAAACTCCGGCGGCTTAAGTTACTGCTTTGCCGTCTTTCCGTCTGCTCAGAATGTTTCAAACTGTAGTTTGTTTTGCAAAAATATGCTTCAAATCATACTTACAAATCAGAATTATAAACAAGCAGATAGTACAACACGTAAACAGTGTATTCAGCCGTGATCTGACTGTTCTGAAGATATTAAATAACAGCAACAGTCGAGTGAAATACGCTGCAGGAGAAGTTTGATAAGTTTCTATGGAGGAGAAGATTCTTCCACCGTACCAACCAGATTTAAAGTCCACAAAGGATGAATGTTTGAAAGATTGTGCATTTGTTATCTCTGGAACAGAGATTCTTCTCATTAAGTATCACTATATATGGCATCGTGTGGCGCTGCTCTCACCAGAGAAGGGTACGTCTCTGAGGACGGTGGGTCCCCAGCCCCTCCACAGTGACAGCAGCCCGTCCTGAGCCACAGCCGAGCGGATACACACCCGCAGCTCGCTGTAGGGCAGCCGGCGCGACTGCATCTTGGTCCTGACCAGCTCCAGAGGGCTGATCACCGTCACAGCCCCCACTGCAAACCGCACGGGAGTCAAAAACCCGTTCAACACACTGACGTTGGGATATCTACGCGTGCTTCAATGGACTTACATCTGGCCAGACCACCAGCAACTAGAGGGACGAGGCTGCCCTGGAAACCCAGACCGAACCTCAGGAAGTCCCGCAGCTGGTCGTAGCAGGTGAAGTAGATGACCGTGGCTGGTACAGCCATGACCCTGCACACACACACACACACTTAAATTGTTATTGATGTTTTTAGGTGTCTAAAATACGTCCACAGCAGTACTTTGCTCTCGTGCCGGTACTGCTGTCTGGTAATACACTGACTATGGAGAAGAACCTCATACAACGAAACATCAAACTGTTACTTTAACCTTCAAAGAAGCTATTTGTAAATGCTGTTTCCATTCGAAACTATTTACAGGGGAAACACATTATACTACGACACTCAAAATAGAAAAAAGCTAAAATACTAAATACCATAATTAAACATCTATTGGCCTCTGACATCATTATCTCTCTCAGCCAAACCTGAACACAAGTCATCTGAACGTTTTCTTGATTTTAGACACTCACAGTGTTGGAGGTAGTCCGCTCCACAGAGACCTGAGTCCTTCATGTCGAGTGATTTTTACAAAAGCATCCTGTGGAGTAAACAGACAAACATAGCTTAGCACACTTTGATTCATTTTGTAGGTAAAGCGAAGCCGCTGATGTTCTTGTACTCACCAGCGTCCCACTGAAATGTGTGGGTGTTTTGTACCAGCTGGTGAGACTGGTTCTATTCTGACACACGTAGATGTGATCCATCAGTCCATTACAATACAGGAAACATTTCCCTGTGAGAGACAAACAACCAGCGGTCAGCAGGGATATAAATACTGTATGAGCCACAGCAATCACCAGATAACATGTCGAAAACATCCGAAACAAGTGTCTGAATATGAGCATGTTTTACAGTATATGATCCATTTGATTAATGATACATGTGATGGCAATGACCACAGAGTCACTCGATAACACAGGGCTGTCCTTGTCACTGCTTACTTTGTGTGTTTATTTAGAGCTGGTTTAAGATACGACTATTGACAAAAAAGTCAAAGAAACTCTAAAAAAAAGATTATTTCCTAACCTGCTCTTAAATACAGTTATTAACATGTGGAAATATTGCAGGAAACAAAAACATAACATTTACTAAGACAGGGTTACGTGTGAGCAAGAGTGAAGAAAGGTTGAATAAGAAGCACTGACGTTCATGTTCAACTGTAAAATATCTACCAACATGAAATGGTATTTTACGACCAGGTACAAAACTACAGCCACACAAGGAACAGATAAAACTGAAGACCATGTAGTGAAACAAAAACATACACATGAAACACTATTTTTGTTTTTATTGCCAAGAGATGTTAGTCAGGTGAGCGTGTGCCCCCACACACAGAAAGCTGTGCTGGGCAACTGTGTTTTTTGTGCAACTGTGGTGAAGTTTCAGCATGCAGCGACGGCGGGTCAGATACTTACACTTGGAAGGGCGGATGACGCCGCCCCACGGAGCAGATTCACAGGCTAAAGCTACGGAGAAAAAAAACGCAAAAAGCAGGACAGATAAAGGCCGAGGAGAGAGGTGAAGAAACAAAGAACAGGTGTCGTGGGGTTAGAAAAGCATCCAGATACACAAGGATGGCACTCACAAGCAGCTGTTACAAGCAAAGCCAGTGTTTCATCAACCAAGTTAATCTATGATCTAAAACCACAGAAGAAGTCAAGCTCCTTGCCTTACCGTGGTGCAACGGTGTTTGCTGAGCCTGCAGCCTGATCTTCACAACGTCCAGCGGTGTGACTGTGAACAAATGAATGCAATTATTATTATATTATAGATTATATCAGTCTTCAGCTAAAACTAATGCATTCTAATAGTCCTGCAGTACAAATGAAGGTTAGCACGGTCAGTTTGAGAGTTGTCCTCCCCTCTTAGATCAATGATTGTAGGCTAAACATACTGGATAGCTCCAGTTCCTGCTGTGGATTGTTCCAGGTTGGGGGGGAGAAGGTCGTTTTATCAAATAATGTCGGGACTGAGGGGATGGAAAGAGTGCTGGGAGCGTAGGCTATGGCAGCACTGTTTACGGGATGTATTAGTTGATAAACACACCAAGGATGGATCTATAAATTAAGTTATACTAGTGCGCACGGATAATGATGGCCAGTAACTTTCATGAAGAAGAAAGTTCTTTGTTTTATCTTGGTGTACCTAAAAAACTGGCAACTTAGTGTTAGACTTTGGGGACAACAAACCAATTGTGTGCACAAGACAAGAACATTGTGGAAAACTGCATTGGAAAGAACAAATTTAACAGACTTAAGTTGCTTTTTCCACTCTTTGTTTTCGTGATCTCACCAAAAATAGACGTGAGGAGGGCTCCAGTGCCAGAAGCCAGCATCTGCTGCACTGGAGAGATCGCAGCCACGGAGCCGCCGCCGGCCCGCTCCCCCATCCTGCCCACCTGTCGGAACAAAAATAAACCCACACAGTGAGAACAATGTGTTCTTTAACTAAACTTCACTTCTGTTTTCTGTCTTTGTCTTCTTGTTATGTAGAACAACTCAAGAGGAGTGTTGGTGTTCTACACGATCAGTTTGTGTCCCGTTATGTCAGATTGTGGATTGTGTGACTCCTGCTCCTGAGGGTTTCTGTCATAGCAACTAAAATCTGGTTAAAAAAAGTGTTATCCAACAATAATAGAAGTTAAAGAATAAAATTAATGTTGTGATTCAGAAACTGATTATTACAGCGTAGTAAAGTCAGACCTTGGTCGATGTGAGCTGGGTAAGTCGAGGCGTAGTTGTTATAATGGAGTCGTTGAAACATTGTGATAGCTTATCTACGATGTGCATGTCAGCAGACAGCCAGTGAGAGCCTCACCTCCCAATGAAGGGAGTGGGTAGTAGCAGATAAATAAACATGAACAATAAATACTAATATGGAACAACAACTAATGAAGATAAACTAATAAATGCCCCAAATAAAGTCTCAGCTTCTGAGATGTTAATGTTTTTTTAGAAATGATATACCCTAGCAGCAAATCCAAAGGTAGGAGCCAAGATGTTTCTGCTGGATAAGTAATATTTCAAATATTCACTACGTTACCTGTGTGGTTGCCATTTGCTCCCCTTGGTACTGTACTTCTGTACCTAATTGTACTTTAGTGTGACAGTTGAAGCCACTTGGCCCTCAAGGTTTGTCTGCCAAATAAGCTGCCTTTACCAAACAAGGTTTTCATATCAACACAGCCCGAGACCCCCACTGACAAGGACTCTGACATCACCAGGACGATTACTTAACCGCTACAGTTACACATCCTTTGCACAACTCGACTACACTTATAACATTAATAACATACATGTTTTAAACGTACTCCTAATTTCTTTGTTTATTTATCATATTTTATTCAAATTTTTCTATTTTTAAATTATGTCTTTAACCATTGCAAGTTTATTTCTCGCACACCAATCATCAAGCCAAGAATCAGATCAAAACAATCAATCAAACACAAACATGTCGCCACATGTGTCCTAAACTGACAGGAAGTTTCCTGTCACCTTCACCTGTAAATCACACAACGTTGATGACCTTCATCACGTCTTATTCTGGTTAAAACCTACATGACAGTCATGTTGACAGGACACACGTTACTGAAACAACAGAGCTAACGGTATAGCTGCGTAGACAGTATTATGTGATAGTACACTCTGTCCTCTTTTTACCACCACTAGCTAGCTAAGATCACGTACACAGACACAATAAATAACGTTACATCTTAATCCACACTTAAGGAGGATTCAAAGTCAGTATGCCAAACGTGATGAAATACATACGTTAACATGTAACGTTAGGTTTAGATAACTGTCAGCATTTAAGTCAAATTTAGCTGGGTAGCTAACTAGCTAACGTTAGCTTGTGTAACGAAACAACGTTGCATGGGAAGCTAACGTTAGCTAGCTACACAGCTACAGTTCAGTTGCTCACCTCTACTTCAGCTGCCAGTGTCGTTGTGAAATAGAAGCGTCTTCTTCACCCATTTCAGTTAAACGTTTCCACGTTGAAGAGCTATAGCGTTAAGCCCCTCTGTCGTGCTGCCATTTATTCGGGTTGTCCGTTACGGATAACATGTTTTGGATTATTATTATTACAAAATGTCAGCTCTCCTCTGGCCCCGCCCCCTCCTGCTGCTGTCGATCTGGCGCCGCCAGGTGGACACGTCACTGTGGTGCGACGCAGCTGCCAAACAAGTTTATTCCCGTAGTCAACAGCGACGTGTTCACACGAAGCAAACGGCCAAACAACTTCAATGAACTTTATCATACAAATTTCATTAAAAAAAACAACCTCTCTCTCTCTCTCTCTCTCTCTCTCTCTCTCTCTCTCTCTCTCTCTCTCTCTCTCTCTCTCTCTCTCTCTCTCTCTCTCTCTCTCTCTCTCTCTCTCTCTCT